CAAACTGTACAGGTTCTTCCTGAATCACTCACAACAGGCAAATTATCTATAGCAATGGAGCCATTCCTACCAAAGCATTCAGGAAGGGCAGCGGCATGCTTCTGAAAGCAGCTTGATTTGGGGCTGATCTTATTATTGTTAATTTTAATTCTATATGCTAAACAATAAGCAGTGCCAAAGGCAAACCAGGTCTTCAGTCTATCCCATCTCTGTGTAGATTTCCCACTCCCTCAGAGTCATGTTCCTTCTCCTGTGATCTTTGTAAGGAGAAATGTCAGCAACAAACTCACATATCCAATCACAGAGGCAACTAAAATTCACCCAAAAAGGGCTTTTCCCGATTTGCAAGGAATAGTTGCTGTGTTCATCAAGGAAAAGCACATTAGGAACTGCAATGATAGGACAAGGGGTAATGGATTCCAACTGAAGGAGGGAAAGTCTAGGTTAGATGTGAGAAAAAAAGTTTTTTACTATAAAGGGTGGTGAGACATTGGAACAGGTTGCCCAGGGACGTGATGGCTGCCCCAACCTTGGCGGTGTTCAAACCTAGGCTGGATGAGGCCTTGAGCAACCTGATCTAGTGGGGAGGTGTCCCTGCCCATGGCAGGGAGGGTTGGGACCAGATGATCTGTAAGGTCCATTCCAACCCTTAAATTCTATGATTCTATTTTCAAGGCAGAGATGTAGCCTGGAACACTATTTCCCAACTGTTGCACACTATCATGCTGGTCTAGCCCATGCTCTGTGAACACTCTTACCCTCAGCGACAGTGAGCAGGTTGCCCAGATCTGTGGAGGAGTGGCACTGGGCTGGCTCCGAGCTCTTCACATTCCACAGTGGCAAAAAAGGGTCATAGTCATAGGAGGAGAGGTCAGCCAGACTCAGCACGTAGTGGCTTTGCTGTGTGTATGTGCTGGAGCCATTCACACAGCAGTGCAGGACCTGCAAGGGGATGAGTGGGACACTGAGGCAGTAATAAACTCTGAGTTTATCTACAAAGATTATCTTCCCTGGCTTGTTGTTATAAGCATTTCACGTCTCTTCACCATCCCATCTGCTCTACATCTCTAATCTTACCTTCTTAGCATTTTGCATTTGTAACCTCTCACCTGTACAATTTCTGCCACACTGGGAGAACTCATGGTTTTCTAGAGCTTGCCAAAACTGCTTCTGTGTCTAACAGGGTGTGCGAAAGGCTTCTTTAAACATCCAGACATAGTAAATTACATTCTTCCCTGCACTCACTCTGTAAATATAGTCCAGTAAAGGAGCTCTGGATGTGTGTTGATCTTCCACAGCACCAGCAGACACAGGCTCCAGCAGCATTTTCACGGGCAGTGCCATACACCAATCCAGCAAGCAAAGCAGCAGTGAAACTATAAACTGAACAGGAACATGGAACACAGTATTTGGATACATTCTATTAAATTCACCCATACCCAAAGGTATAAGTTTGAAAGTTTAAAATGCAACCCTGGTTCAAAGCACCTTCATTTAAAAACCACCTCAGACAGCACAAAGAAAGAATGGAGACAGTGATGTACCTTCTTATCTGCTTCCACGGAGGAGTATTCAGCACTCGGCAAAAGAAAGGAAATGGTGGCCACAAGGATCTACATCCAAACAAACAAAATGTCAGAAATACATTTAACTTTGAAGACAGATCATAGGCTTCATTTGTAAGGGCATGGAAAAGGTAAAACTCTCTCTCATAGGAGCATCCAACTGCCTGTGTCAGTCAATGTTCAAGTGAAACAAAATGTTTTATGGAATGTTTTGGAAACAAGTCACTGCAAACTAGGAAATTAGCCTGGCCCTGAGACTACAGCAAGTACATGCCTAGCAATAACTGCAAAAGGAAGAAGAGGTTAACAAAATCACAGCAGCTCAAGGGAGGAATTAAATCAACTTTGCATATGATTTCCACACAAACATGTTAAATTATCTGACGTACTTCAGTAATTTTCCGGCAGAGGGAGGATTCATACTCCTGGAGCTTCTGCCAGTAAGACACCAGCAGCTGGAGAACATCACAGGCTACCTGAGCTACCAGCTTATTGGAAAACTGGAAGAGAAAAGGTGATTAAAAGCCAAGTAAAATAACCAGATACAACACAATGCATTCAATTTATCTACATGTTGAATTATTTTGCATATACACAAATAATAAAAAGAGGTTAAACTTGCGAAATGATGTCATCAGCATTAGGAACCAGCAGGTTAGACTCAGTTTGCTGGAGAAAGGGTCTCTAGATACACAAGCACATGCAATTTTGCAAATATTCTGCAGGTGTGTATAAAAAAAGTATGCATTTAAAAAGGGGAAATGCCTCTTCACACGATGCTCACTGATAAGGACAGTCACAGCAATACCTTTAGTGTCACACCTATGACATTGATGGCTTTCTTCACGTGGGGATGGTTTGTGCCCTGTGTCAGCTCCTCACATATCCACACTCCAAGGCCACAAATGGCTATGCATCTTTTTGTAAAAGAAAAAGTGATTTTGTCAGAATTTCTAGAGGAATATTTAGGAAAAGAAAAAAAAAATAAAAAATTAAAAAACACACAAAGATGTGTGAGAAGGAAAAGAGAGATCACAACAGGCCAGCACCTTCAGGGTGCAGAGTGGGCCTCAGCTTCACAGACCAAACCACCAGGCAGTAGCAACAACGCAGCTGTACCAGCATTAAAAAGAAGTACCAAGACTTTCCAACCCGCAAACAGTTGGACTTGATAATCTTAAACGTCTTTTCCAACCTAAACAATTCTATGATTTTCTTATTTCTTTTACTCACTATTTTACCTTGCAGCTTCACTTGGCTCCTCTGTAGCATTCTTCAATAAAATATTAATGAGGCAACACTAAAATAACAAAATAAATTAGAATAAGCATTTTTTCATATATATGCTTGAAAGTTCTTTAATTTTGACATAGTTACAAGTGAAGTCACTTTAATTCTCAGTCTATTCCTTCTCTCTTGTTCTACCTGCTCACGCCATGTGAGGAATTCAGAGATTCCTCCCAGATATAATCAGTTTTGAGCAGTGGTGCCTCAAGTTTATCCAAAGCCACAGTCTAGTGTTGGACAACCATTTGGGCAAGTCTCACCTGCAAGTGTTGTGCCTGGTTACCTTTGTTGTGTCTTTGGGAAGGAGCTGTGGGATTCTCCCTACAAGATTACTGTAGTGAAGATGATTAAATTACAAAGCTTTCCATGCCAAAAAGCAATTCCTGTCTCAAGATGTCCCACTGGAATTAATTCTTTGGGAAAACACATTCACACAAGATGATGATTCTAATAGTGGTATTTCCTTAAGATGTTACTGTAACAGCAATAAGGCAGAACACCTCTGCCTTTGTGCACACCCCACATCTCTTAGAAGATGAGCTAATGGACACAAGTACAATTATGGACACTTTAAATACTACCTACACCATTTAATGGATTGGCCCAACAGGCACCTGGCTGGAAAACGTGGCATTTGATCACAGCCAGCTCTCTCTCCTTGAAAACCAAGCTGGAATTTGCAGTACCTAGGCTTTGTTAAGTTTATGGCACACGTTAAGCAAAGCACTGTGCATCAATGCATGTAATATGTGCAGCTGTGGGGTTTGAGGAGAAGGAGGGTTCATTTTTTAACCAGAAACTCACAGTAAGAACGAAGTAACAGAATAATAAAAACAGGTTAGGTTACCCAAGGATTTACAATGCAATGTGGCTTTACCTTCACATCTGCAGTTCCTGTGATGATCTCACCAGCTTCTGAAATGGGCCCCAACCCTGGGATTTCTTGGTAGGTATTTGGAAAGCACACAAGAGCACCAAGGATGGTGTGAGCTTCTGAACGGGGAGCCTAGCGAAGGGCACGGAAGCAGAAATACTCATTAGAAAAACATTCATCCATGAAGACGCCACCACCTCTGAGGCCAGTGTGTATTGCCATACTCAGGCTTCTTGATTCACAATGCAGCATTAAAGTGTCCCAGGGAACACATCCCAGGAGCTTTTCCTTTACGCCTGAAGCAAAAGCTGCACTAAAGAGGTGACTAACACACACATTTCCCTCTATGCTTTTTGCTGTTGTGTTGCTCTGCTCTCTTTGTGAAGCTGAGCTGCTCCTCCAGCAGGCACCTGGCCCCACTCCTGAGCACATCATACATCCTCAATACCTCCTCTGTCATTAACCAGTATGGCTATCAGCCATTTGGTGTCAACAAAAAGTAGAGAACACCTAAAGAAAAGCTGAGTGACAGGCTGAAGCACTAGTCCAGCACTGCTATTAGGTGATCCTGTGACACAATGCACAACGCACTCATACTGACTGCATAGATGTATAGAGAGATCGCAACTTCAATAAAACCACCAAAAGCACCATGGCATGAGTTATAAACGCATTAACCACCATGTGATGTTGAAAATGCAATGTATACCTAGTTTAATGCTCGTAAGAGAAATGAAAGGTGGTGTTTTGCAGGGATATTTTGTTTTGCTTTTTTTTCCATGGGAAATTGAGTATTCATTTCTAATGAGCACTATAAGCTTTGGATCAATGAACAGGCTGATCAAACTCTTTGAGGGCCAATGGAAAATGCATGACTGGGCTCACCCTTTCAGCTCTGCAGACACAGGGAGGGCTGTGTCCCTGTGCAGGGCCACCTGCTCGGCCACACAAATGTTAAGAACAGCAGCAAAAGCATTGGTCCAAAATAGACTGAAATGTCTCCGCTCAACCGGTGTTTCACATGCAACAAAAGCTCTCCTGTTTTTCCCGGGATTGCCAGACCTTTACCCTTATTTTGGCAATCCATCATTGATTTGCTATTTTACTTATCCTTCAATAATTTAATAATTTAGAGTCACATTTCTATTAGTGCTGACATTTAGCCAGAAATTCTGTATTACCCAAAGAGTTCCCTATTTTCAATGTTTGTTCAGTGAAAGAAAAGCTAATGAGGCTCTGAAGCCCAAGTGCTGCTCTGAGCTCTCAGCAGCATCAGCCAGGAGATGGTTTCTCACACCTTGGTCTTTTGATGAAACACCTTTGCAATACCAGTGTGTCACCTTACCCCACAATTTCACACATCAGCTGCCATGGTATCCGCCCCAAGAGCCTGTTCTGCACAGCACTAATGAGCCACCACCTGTTAGAGCTCGTTAGCTGGCGCATGCTCTGGGGCCAGTGGCCCAGTCGTACTCACCTCCAGCGTGTCCGTGCTCAGGACCCTCGCTGCTGCCTGGATGAAGTCCCCAATCAGCATCGTGAAGCCAGGCAAGCCCAGGAAGAAAAACCAAGGTGGGCAGTGCTTTATGACAGTGTTTAAGATATCCTGCAAGAGAAGTTACCTGTGTGAGAGGAAATAAGCAAAAAAAAAAAAAAAAAAATCCCCACAGAAAAGCACCAAAGCAAAAAAGGAGACTTGGTGAGGATTTAACTCTGCAGTTTAGCAGTCCCACACTAATCAAGGTGCAAATACACAGTCGCACTGCTCTGTATGCAAACTGGCTGTCATGTAATCACCACCTGCTGCTGCAAATGCATGGAGTAGTGAAGTGTATTTGGTATTTTCACAGCTTCATAGTATGTTAAGGGATTGGAATGGACCTTAGAGATCATCTAGTCCCAACCCCCAGGGCTGGGGCAGCCACAACCTCCTTGGAGGTTGGTAACATTTATAAATTTGATGTAAACGTTTGTAAATATTTTGGTAACATCTGTACTCTTAAATTCCTGTTACAATCCCAAACCACATGCCCATGTTTCTCTGTGTCTAGGCACACAGAAATCCACTCTGCTAAATCAAGCTTTGGATTCAAAACACCCAAACCTTAATGGATTTAAAGTGAAGCATTGCACCACTCCAAAGGAACAAGTTCCTGAAATCACTTCACTCAGAATTTTACACCACAAGAACAGGAGCTGAGCCCAACACGTGCTGCCTGAGTCCTGAAGGAACAGATCAGCACTCCCAGCTCTGCTCTCCTCATCACCCTCCAGCACAGAGCACATTCAAGATAAGCATTTCCACCTTAATCCTTCCACGTTTTAATTCTTCACAGTCTCTCCAAATCAGAGTAAAGTTCCTGTATTTAAGTTAAGATTTCCTTCCCACAAGCTTTCAGCAGGTTTAAAATTAGGCATAAAATCTATATAATCCTTACCTGCAGCATTATATTTGCTGAAGAGTTAGATCAAGCTATGTCTACACTGAGTTGAAAATGATTTTTTATCTCAATACAATTTTAAAGAAAAGTTGCAAAGGAAAACCCTTTTCCATGTCCCTCCTTACTGGTTTTATGATGTGTTAAAGCAGGCCTGAACTCAGAGTCCCAGAATGTAGTCAGTTTCTACAGCAGAAGCCAAAGATGACAAACCAAATTTTCTCCACACGAAGAGATGCTTTAACATAACCACTATTTTCTCAAGGCCCTGCTGAACTGCACAGGCTCAGTGTTCCACAGTTTTCAACACCAATATCCGATGAAACAACGCTTACACATTTTAAATAAATAGTATTAGTTTTAACATAGTAGCAGATAATGCTTTCACTTTCCTGAATAAGCTAAAATGCCACTCGAGTTAATGTTTAAACTCGTTTTAATCACTTCCTTCGCTACATTTTAAGTCAATATGGGTCAATGCAAACATTAAGGTTCCACAGTTTTCAACACCAATATCCGATGAAACAACGCTTACACATTTTAAATAAATAGTATTAGTTTTAACATAGTAGCAGATAATGCTTTCACTTTCCTGAATAAGCTAAAATGCCACTCGAGTTAATGTTTAAACTCGTTTTAATCACTTCCTTCGCTACATTTTAAGTCAATATGGGTCAATGCAAACATTAAGAACGCCAGAGCAGATGGATGCAGCAGCTCATAAAGCGAGTGGTAAACTCACACTCGGGGCAGAACAAAGGACCCACCTTTCATAATTAAGGGCTGATTAACGCTCTGGGCTCCTCATCACACACCACACCTGTACAGCAGAGCCAGGTACAGCACAGTGTTTGGTCTCTATCACTGGCAGCAGGCTGCAGGGCAGCAGATGGGAGCACGCTTCTGTTGACATATGCCACAATCAAAGAGCTCTGGCTAACCTGACCGGGAAGGTAACGGCACGGCGGAAGCACTGGGACCTGCTCCCAACAACTGCATTAACTCCTGTCCTCACCCCATCGCTCCCATCTGTCATGCAGCAGCGTAACGACCGCCTGCCTCAGCAGCTCTGGACTCTGGTCCCTGTGGAGAACACTTCCAATGTGAGGACAAAGGAGTCACAAAACGGTTACTCTATCTGAATGCCCTGACAACACACATGTTCCCAAATGCTGCAGGAACAGGGCTGCATGGACCTACTTGCTGGTTATGAGATGTCCTGCTACTAAAATCAAAATAATTTTTCATAGTAAGAAATCTTTGAAAAATTTACTTTGAAAAGCTTTGAAACAATCCTTCATTTCTCTCTGGGTTTGCAGCTTCACATGGATGAATCCCCAGAGCAGGGTGCACACTGCAGCGATACATGCACACAGAACTGCCCAAAGGATGGCTTGACTTGATGATCTTAGAGGTCTCTTCCAATCTTGATGATTCTATATCCTCTGATTCTATGAAAGGTGACCATTTAGCCAAGGGCCTGCACAGAAACTCACTCTGCCAGGTTTGCCAACACTTTTCACTGCCATGGTTCATCCCAGCCATTCCAGTGGGCACTTGTGATGGTCTGAGTGACTTAGTTTAAACTAAGAATATATCCTGGCTATGGCACAGTCTGTCTGCTTGAGCACACACCACAGAGAATGGGCAGAACCAGTCCACGATGGTGCACACAGGTAACCTGCCAGGTTTTCTCCCCTTTCCCAATCAGCACACAAAAACCCAGTTCACAACAGAATTTCAGGCAGTAATTCGGTAGCTTTGGGAGCTTATCAGCAGAGTGAGGCTTGCAAGAAGGCGAGGGAGTGAGAACATCTGTGCTATCAGTGATACTGCAAAATCAGGTAATTCAAACAGAGGCGAGTTGCTTCCTTCCCTTCAAACGTGGTCTGCAAATGTAAACCCTGGGCAGCAGCTCCCAGCCTAGTCAATGAATCACTTTAGGCAGTAATTCGGTAGCTTTGGGAGCTTATCAGCAGAGTGAGGCTTGCAAGAAGGCGAGGGAGTGAGAACATCTGTGCTATCAGTGATACTGCAAAATCAGGTAATTCAAACAGAGGCGAGTTGCTTCCTTCCCTTCAAACGTGGTCTGCAAATGTAAACCCTGGGCAGCAGCTCCCAGCCTAGTCAATGAATCACTTTAATTGAATGCTATGTACACAGCAACTGGAAAACACAAGCCATAAGAAAAACATATGGTGATGGCCATGGAAATTGGTTTACTCATTCTGCAGAGTGTTGTTTCTTTACTTCTTTCATAATTGACCTTTAGAACGATAAATGTGTAAAATCATTTTGGTTTATTATGGCTCCAAACCTTTCAGCAATTACACAAAATGAAAATTTAAAAGGAAGTATTCATTCTGGAAGCATTTCCATTGTTTACATAATTGCACAGCTATAATTTAGTGTTCATGTTGTTAAAGAAAAGTGAAAAAAAGGACCATTACGGACTATTTCAATTCAAAATGATGCTCTGTAGTGTTAAAGCTGGGGAGGAGGGGAGAGGAGGGGGCAATCACATGCATGCCCTCCTCAAATGCATTAACCCTATAAATGGCATCATATTTCAGTACAGGTTAGTCTGCTAATCCAAATTATAAGGTCATCAACATCCACTGAGTAAGTGAAATAAATTTATGCAAGTTCACTGAAAGGTCAATTGCAAAAACATTCTTCACCTAATTTTTGTCCAAGCTTTCACAGATTACAGGTGTAACCAAATAGCCTGCCAGCTGCCTGCCTCACGTTTCCAATTGTCCCTCAACAGGAACAACATGGATTTTTCACTGAAAGTTCACTCTGTTCCTCACCGAGAGACACCTCATTAGCAGCTGAGATTTACAGCACGGGAAAGATTATTAATTTACACAAGTGGTAAATCCTCCTTTTTCCTTTTTCAATTTTAAAGGGGCAAATGCTTCCATTTACTTACTCTGAATTTTCCTACCTACCATTACATTTCAGGTTAAGACTTAACTTGTCAAAAATTAAGTTCCAATAGAAATTTATGAAGTATTTTGTCAGTCTCAGGGAGTACAGGATTATCTGACCAGAAAACTCCATTTCCAGGTGCTAGGTAAAACCCAAACTCCGAAACAGCTACATTGGCTCACGGTCCTCAAGGCTGGAGCACAGCTGGGGGAATTTTCAAGTTTCTCCCCTTTTAGAGTATGTTTGATACTCTCACATCTGAGCAGATGATTTGGATTAAGGTCTGGAAAACATATTTTGGTTCATGCACACAGAGAGCAATCCCTGAGCATCTGCTGGCTACAGACACAGAGGTGTGGGTTCAGAGCCCACAGCACTGCCTGAAATGTGGAGGTGACTTTGTGTTACCACATGGGCTTTCCCAAATGCCTGTGGCAGGGTCACTCCAAACTCTGACAGACAGAACACTGACTATGAAATAGGAATTTGGGTGGGAAGGAAGCAAGTTTGAAAGGGCAAATGTACTAAAACAAAATAAACAGAAAAAGAACAGAACTACCAAAATCATTCTGGAATGCACAGCTCCTACAGTTGGCACAATCTGCATCTCCCCTGCTTCCAGTCAACCCCAGCAGCTATTTTCTCCAGCACTTACCACTTACCCTGCTCTGGGTGAACAGAGGGGGATGTGAGGTTTCCTGCGAGACCCTGGCATTTGGACTTTTGTTTGTCCCTACTGGAAACGTGCTGTCTGTTAACACTTTATCAAAGCACATAATGAGGGCACACAGGCAAATTTTCTACAGAAAATGAGATAACAAGGGAGCAAAAGAGGGAAAAAAATCACAGCAGCCATTGGAAGAAAGTCTCAAGGAGCTACAATAGGGGAATCTAAGCATTAATAGACTATATTAAGGTTATTTCGTTCTAAACGGCAGTCTGGAAAAGAATCTAAACCTTGTTACAGTTTATGTACAACTCGGGATCCTTGTGTGCAGTGCCATCAGCCAGAAATCCAGGCAAGTACCACCCATTCCACAGAGGACAAAAGCAAAGCTACTCATGCATTGTACCTTGAGAAGGCTCCTACAGGTCCCACTGACAGCACCACTGGCCAAGCAGCCTACAAGCTGTACACTGCTCCTCGCTGCTGAGTAACAACTGGACAGAAAGATACAAAAGCCCACAAGTACATTTCTTTCTAAACTTCAGACCGCTGTTTGTAAAAACAGGT